CCTGCCAGGTCCCCACTGGGGGACACGGAGGCCAGGAGAGCCCTGGGTGGCCACCCCTTCTCCCCCTGACCCTGTCTGCCTTCTCCTTGCAGGCTGAAAAGACGCTCAAGCAGCTCCACCTCTCCTCCGCCCAAGAAGAAAAAGAAAAAGAAATCGGGTCACCGTCGGAGCCGGTGAGTCCCTGGCTGTCCCTGCACTGTCCCCTCTCCCGGGAGGCTCACCCCTTCCCCAGGGTCTGGTGGAGCAAGTTCCCCCACTTTGGGGGGCAGTGCACCCCCAAACGTGCACCCTCAAGAGGCGCAATGCATCTGCACACACTGGCAGTGCAACACGCTCACATGTGCACACACGCACGGCACTGTGGGATGCACCGTCAGCCACCCAAGTGCACACACTGGTGGAACCTTGCCCCCTCCATGCTGGGAAGGAGCCAGCAGCTGCAGGGCATAGCACTGGGCAGGATTTGGCTCCCTGAAGGGTCTGGCTCCATCCAACCTCTGGTCCCCTCCCTGGCTAGTGCTGGCTGGCTGGGCAGGACGCTATCCCTAATGTCTCTTTCTTCTCTGCCTTCCCCACGGCAGCAAAAAGAGGAAACCCGGCTCGGAGCGCAGGTGAGTGCTCGCCAGGCTGGGTGGGCTGCGGGGTCCCCGCTGGGCATGCAGGGCCACCAGGCACAGGCTGGCCTCTGCTGCCCAATGTCCCCCTCTGCAATCCCAGGGGGAACTGGCCACACTGTCTCCTGTTGGAGGCTGCAGAGCCCACGAGGTGGCAACGGGATACAGCAGGATTTGGGTGCTCAGGCACTGAAGGCAGCTGGAGCCCTTCTGCTAAAAGCCTCTTTCTATCCCCCACCCCAAATCCCCCCAGGCAATAATTGCCATGCGATGTTCGTGCATCCCGTGGGTGGTCCAGGGGAAGCAGGGTGCTGAGGGCAGCGGGAACGGGTCTCCCCTGGGCCACAGGGATGAGGCTGGGACGTCTCTTGCTCCACCCTCAAGGGCACCCACTTTTCCCACCCCCCCCAGCTGTGACAGCTCTTCACCCATCCGCAAGGAGAAGAAAAAGAAGACTGGAAAGAAACACAGACGCGACAGGTAGGATGGACACCACATCAGGCTGGGGACAGCGGCTGGTTGGGGACAGAAGGGCTGGCTGGGGACGGTGAGGCTGGTTGGCGGCTGCCAGGCCCTTGGGCTGGGGTGGGATGGAGGCACGGACAGGGATGGATGGATGCTGGTGGCTCTTCATGGGGCCATCACCTCCTCACAGCAGCTGTCACCTGCCCCATCCAGCAGCCCATCTTGGGGCCACCCCCACGCCCTTGTGCCCATCCCCGGGAGCTGCCCGGCCTTCGCTCCCCACTGGCCGGTTCCATATGTCTCCTTCATCTCTGCCTCCTCTTCATCCCTCAGGTCTGAGTCGGGGTCACGGAAGAAGAGAAGACACAGGTGAGAGTGACAGCTGCCGGGAGCCACCCCACTGCCACCAGCGCTGGCTGCCAGCTTCCCCCGTCGGGGACACCCTGTCCCCTGCCCTCCCGCTGTCCCCATCCCCTCCGCCCATGGGGACAGACCCCGTGCCACTGGGCAGGGGATGGACCGGTTGGGTACAGTGGGTGTGAGCGTGGGCTGCCATCACCCTTTTTCTATCCCTTGCCTGGTGAGTGTCCCCCTCACCCCACAGACGGGCACTGCTGGGCGTCCCCCACTCTTGGAGGTGGCACAGGGCCACTCTGGGTGCCTGCAGGGTCCCACACAGCCCCGAATCTCCCCCAGGGGAGAAGGGATGATGTTGGGCAGCCGTGGCCAGGGCAAGCCCCGGTTGTGCCCTGCTCTGTGGATGCCCTCTGCCGGCACAGCTATTTTAGGGTGAAAGAAGTAAAAAAACAGGCAAAGGGTGCCTGGGTGGGCAGAGGGGCTCAGAGGAGGCTGGTGCAGGGTGAGGTGAGCAGAGGGGTGACAACAGGCCCGAGCCCTGTGGGTGC